CTCCGCCCCGTCCCTCGCCCTCGCCGCCCCGCCCCCAGGCCCCGCCCCTCCCCGCTCCGCCCAGGCCTGGAATGTTTTCCCTCCGCCTCCACGTCCTCAGCGGGAAGCGCCTAAAAGTCGCCAACTATTGGCCTCGGGAGCAAAGGCGAAGGCCATGGGGCATGTTTGGCGGGGATGACCGGGCCGGATGCTGGGACATCGTGCACGTTCCCTGTGTCTTTTTCTTGGTAGCTCTGCGTACTTTTTGCCTCTGTTATTCAGCCTTTCATCCTGGGGGAAACCGCCTACCTTTGAGGGAATGGGGAAGAGAAGAGGTGGGGATAAATCAGTGTTTCCTAATCTGTAAAATGAGGAAAAGATTACTTGCCCCGTGGACATTATTATTCATTGCTAAAACCCTCAAGGGTGCAGAGCAGATGGAGGTGCTAAACGCTGCCTAGAGAGGGATTGAGCTTTAACCCAGCACGTGCTGAGAATCTACTATGCGCACCCTCATAGCCAATGTTTTCAAACTGGTGGCCTTGAGGCCACAATCTAGATCCAGCTCCTGGAACTGTAATGGGCCCGGCCCCACAATGCGGAATTAGAATCTCTGATGGTGAAAATCGGCATTTTTACAATCTCTCAGGTGACTGTGAGGCACTGTAGTTTGAGGGCCCTGGTGTGATAGGAGCCCCATGCTAAAAGATTAAGACTAAGCACAACTGCAATTAAGATTTTTAAAAATCCGGACAGAGACAGAGATTTTGAGAAATTTTACATTGGGGTTAAATGATGCTTTCTACCTATTATGCTTGGGCATGGAAAACTACTGACCTAAATATTTATTCAGCAAATATATAGAGAGCATTTCTTATGTGCCAAACAGCGTTTTAGGCTCTGGGGTAGAGCAGTGAGCAAAAAGACAAATATCCCTTTCCTCTTGGAGTTTACTTACTAGTGGGGAAGACGCACAATAATCAAAATAAATAAGCCAAATATATATAGTATGTTAGAAGGAGATATATATATATATATATAAAGCAGTAAAGCAGTAAAGCAGGGGGGGATAGAAGAACTGGGGAGGGGGTCAGTTTGTTTTTAAGTAGGGGTAAATAAAAATGGGAGAATTTAGTGTTCTCTCTTAATTATAGTTTAAAATGTATTGATTTCATAGCCATGTCTTAGTTTACACATAAGACTTACCAGGCTATATTTTTGATAAAACAAAAATGCTAACTGCACCACTGTACTACTGGCTCGGTAATTAACCCAAACCAGAATTCAGCTCTGAAGGGCATGGGGCTCTTCCATTCAATAGATATTTATTTCCAGGGCTTTACTTTGTTACAACTTAAGGGGACACAAGGTAAGCAAGGGCATTTCTGGCCTGTGCCTGCTCAGAGTTTACTGTCTGGTGGGGGAAGGAACAGGGATAGATAAAAAGATGTGCTTGTAAGAGTCCTGGAAGTGGGGACCTGACCTGGCCCAAGAAGATGCAGCTGCCCTCACAAGTGTGGGAGCTGGAGGAACTGTCAAAACGCCCACAGTTGCCAGCAAAGGGGAGTGTGATTCAAGGGGAGGCCTGGAAAGGAAGGGCAAGAACTTAACACCCTGCATGAGTGTGTTAAGGATTTTCTTTTTTTGATCCTTAACAGTGACAAACTATGAGAAGCCATTTTAATGGAAGAAAGCATTCCGTGATAAGATTTGCATTTTGAAAAGATCACTTAGGCTGCGTTGTAAACTTTAAACTTAATAAATAGGAGTACACTAAAACATACAAATTTGTTATTAAAAATTCAAACCTTAAAAATATAGATATTTCAAGCAACTCCCCCCAAATGTATCAATTCTTAAAATAAGTTCTTAATGTTTATTACTTGTTAGGTGAAGTTGTATTTTAATTTAATTCAGTTTCTAGGAGTCTCTGCTTTTGGATATACCCACCCCCACTCAGCATTCATCTTTCCAGAATAAAACTTGCTATCCTTTCTTTCTCTTCTGGTTAAGGCCCCGTTCCTTTCTCCTTGATTATTGATGCTGCCTTCTCTGGATCTTCTCTAATTTCATTATGTCTCTCCAAAGGTTTGTATTATATGGTTTGCTCATCATCTAATAATACCAATAATAACTCCAAAAACATTTTTCTTGGTGAGGCACGGTTTGCATTTTGCCTTCATTGAATCTCATCTTCTGTTCTTTGATCTATTGACACAGCTTCTGACCAGGGCCACACTTCAGTTTTTATCATTTTAATTCTTGCTCCTGTTAGAAATGGACATTTTGAAGGCTGCTAGACTCATAGAATAGTGGTTGAAAGCAAGACTTTTGGAGCAGCCCACTTACTAGCTTTATTATTTAGCCTGTCAAAACTTCTGTTACACCTTTTTAAAAAAAGGCAGTTGTAATAGTGCATACCTCATGGGGTTTTTATGAGGACTGAATAACAACGCACATAAGTGCTTAGCACGCGATAAGCACTCAGTAATGTCAGCCACTATTGTTATGTACTATTAAATAGGCACATCAAACTAGAACATGAAATTCCTATTTAGAGAAGATTCAAACAAAACAAAACAAGACCTTGACTTTAACCTTTGAGAATCTTTACAAACTGGGGGAAGGAAAGAGTGAAAAAGTCATTAAGAATGTCAAAAAACAGTGGTGCTTTACCAGATGAAAGAGGGTCCCCAGGCCAGCTCAGCGTCCTTCCCCTTCATTTAACCTTCAACTCATCACCCAAGGTTTTGTTTGTCGGTCATGGGCAGATGACAGTAGACTGGGTTTGTTAGCTGATCTACATTAAGTGAGATTTCAGTATTGAAACACTGCACTCTGAGCCAGGAATTACCTCTGTTTATGGTCCCGTGAATTAAAAACCATCACCAATGACAGCAGGTTTTGTTGCTGTTGTTGTTAATCATTTGTTCTCAGTGGCAGATTAGAAAGAGATAGCTGTGACCTGAGGGCCTGTGCTGTTTCCTTCCTGCCGTGTTCTTTCCTCAGCTTGGGCAAGGGTTGCTTCCAGGCTCCTCTCCACCGGAGTATCCACACCCACTGTATATGGTTGTTTTCACATTCAACTGTTGTGTTACCAAGGAAAGAAAAATCATGTTGCTAACTCCTAAACTGCTTTAATTCCTATTCAATTTTAGTAATTGATATTAGATATTAATAATATCGTCCAAGGACACCATGTTGTATTTTTTTCCCCACTATAATGTGTTAAAAGTAAAAACTCCCAGTGTCTACAGGTTGTCAGGCAGTTGACGCTGGTGAGTGAAGCAAGACACAGAGGGATGGTGAGAAATAGGGAGCCCAGAACCCCTCTAAGAGGACAGCTGCTAGTCAGGCTCACTTGATCATAGGCATGTGTTAACACAGTGACCCCAATGTACTGGGCTTAAAGATTTTTCAACAGCCTGTATTTCTATACTTTCATATCAAATCTCCCAATTTTTAGGTGCTGGCAACTAACTTAAAAAATCTGAACCCATTCCAGGTAATTTCAATGTTGGGCTTCATTTAGCCCCAGGGTAATCAGTTTAAACCTCTGCTCCAGTGGTATGAGCCAAGCGGTTTCTTTGGAAATGTATTTATCTCCCCTAGGAACTAAAGGACTCCTCTGCACTTAGAAAATGTTGTAATATAATTTATGTTCAATGGAGCATTGGGAAATTACTGGAGAAAATTTTTATTTGGAATGTTCAAAGGAAATATGAAAAAGAATAGAAAGTTTTGAAAATAATTTTAAACAGTATTCAACTAAGAAAAATAATGAAATTTGGAATTGAATGGTTATCCTTAAAATATTCATTATTTTTAGGCTTCAGTGACCCCAGTCTGAGTTCTTCCCCCACTTTCTATCCTAATTGATATTTTTCAGAATTTTTCAAAACCCAAATGCTGGGGATGTAGGATGGAGAAAGAGAAGAAGAAAGGGCTTAGGCAGCAAAATAAATTCATCCCCTTTTAATTTTACCTGGAGTAGCTCTCTTGTTCAATCAGGCCCTCCCCCTTTTTTTTGGCAGCCAGGAGGTACAGGGATCAAACCCTGGACTTTGGTGTTACCTGGTGTTATCAAGGCCTCATTGCTAAAAATGGCAGAGAAGACGTGAACCCAGGAGCTAGCACCAGGCAGTGCTCCCACCACCTCAGTTTCCCTTTGATTTTTGCCAGGGACTGCTCAGATTCTTTCATGTGGCCTCTGACTACACAAACATCAAGCAAGTGAAATGTAAAAAACTGCAATCATTTTTGACTGCATGAAAACAATGAGGCTACTTTCCCATTGAATTGAACAATTTAAATGGCATGTGTTTTTTTGTTGTTGTTTGTTTTTTTTTCCTTTTTGTCTTTTTTCGTGACCCGTAACGGGATCGCAACCCTTGGTGTCACGCCCGCACCGCGCTCAACCAGTGAGCAGACCGGTCTCTATATGGGATCCGAACCCTCGGTGGGAGCACCGCCCTCTACCGAGTGCGCCACCGGGCCGGCCCCAAAATGGCATGTTCTGATTCTTTGTCTATTCTGCTATTATCCTCAGATTTAAAGTTCTTTTTTGAGTTTGCAGCAAATAGTTCATTGACAGCTGAGGATGGATAATGTTATTTTATAAGTACTAATTATATTTAATTTTTTGTCTTTATTATTATTATAAAATAT